GAGGCGCGCATACCGAAAAAAAAAAAAAAAAAAAAAAAGGCTAACCACCTTGGTTAGAAAAGGCACACTAAAAGTGGTCCACATGGCTTTCAGTCAAACAAGGCAGATGAATCCGCTCATTTACCTCTATTCCTTCCTACAATTCACTAAAAGAACTTTAAAGGAATTATTTTTCAATAGACAAAAGAAAGGGAGAAGTGTTATCAGGGGACAAGGGTGTTAACATATTTCGGGGAAATGCAATGTGCAGGGAGGCATCGACAGAGCTGAGAGGACGTAAGAGCAAGCTCCCTGCAGCAGGGGAGCCAATGAGAAGCTTGCCAGCTCCTGCCGCAAACCCCAGAGAGGCCCAAGAATTGGAGGCACCAGTGTCTCACAAAGCAGGCTCAAGACTGATAATCAAAAACAAGGGGAAAGTTGGACACTCCTCAACACACACGCTTCACCCACCCAGCAGGAGACTGGAGAGTTAGTGCTGAGAGAGACTCAGGGTGGGGGACGGTTGGGGGAGCTCAGTGGCAGGTGGGCAGACAGGCACCATAGTGAGCACAGACGGAGTAGGTGGAAGTCCATATACTGACTGCAACCCCCAGCCTCCTTCCCCTAAACACCAGCAACCACATTCTCCACTGTCCCCTGCCCCCCAGGATGCAGGATCCTTTTCTAGAGAAGCTGAATGGTCCCACAGAAAGCCCCTAGAAACATTGACTTTGAAGATGTCCCAGTGGAATGACCAGAGCCCGATCCAATCACTCCCAGTGAAGCCCTACCCAGACTCACAGCATTTCTTAATGCTTTCCTCTCAAATATGAACAAGTGAAAGGAAAAAGGAACTGGGAAGAAGTGGAGACAATTCAGGGAGCAAAAGGAAACTGAAGGAAGACTCACTGTCATCCTTAAATGAAAGAACACACTTCATACGTGGCACAGCACTGGGGGCTAGTAGAAGGAAAAAAAAATGTGATCCACAATGCAAAAGAACTCTCAGAAACTGAAAAAGATGAGAGCCAAATTTTCAAAAGGCAATAGCCAGTGGAACAAAATTTAGAGAAAGTAGGAGAGAAAAGGAAGAAATAAGAAATAAGGGAAAGGGCTTCCCTCGTGGTGCAGTGGTTAAGAATCCACCTGCCAATGCAGGGAACGCGGGTTTGAGCCCTGGTCCGGGAAGATCCCACATGCTGTGGAGCAACTAAGCCCATGTGCCACAACTACTGAAGCCCGCATGCCTAGGGCCTGTGGTCTGCAATAAGAGAAGCCATCACAATGAGAAGCCCATGCACCGCAACGAAGAGTAACCTGTGCTCACCACAGCTGGAGAAAGCGCGCATGCAGCAATGAAGACCCAACGCAGCCAAAAATTAAAAAAAAAAAAAATTTTTTTAATAAGGGAAAAAAGATAAGAAAACTAGAGCATTAAACCAGAATGTCTACCATTCATCTAAAAAATAGAACACAGAAGGGAGAAAATCACTAAAGACAAAAACACAAAAAATTTTCCCAGAATAGAAGGTCCTGAGTCTCCATAAGGAAGGAACCCATTAAGTACCCAAAGCAGTGGATGAAAAAAGACTCACAGTAGACCCATCGTCAAGAAATTTCAGTACATGAGGGACAGAGAGAAGATCCTAAAAGCTTCCAGAGAGGAAGGTGCAGGTTGCATACGAAGGACAGGAAACCAAGATGGCATCAAAATTCTTAACAACCATGCTTAAAGGTCGAAGGCAATGGAGCAAAGCCTTCAAAATTCCCAGGGAAATTTATTTCCAACTAATGTTTTACTTCCAGCCAAACTATTGATCAGCTGTGCAGAAAGGAAGAAGAATCTTTTTCAGGTACGTAGCCTATCAAAAATGTCACCTCCCATTACCCTTTCTAAGGAATCCACCAAAACAAGAGTGTCAATCAAGAAGGAAGACACATGGGCTTCCCTGGTGGCGCAGTGGTTGATAGTCCGCCTGCCGATGCAGGGGACGTGGGTTCGTGCCCCGGTCCGGGAGGATCCCACGCGCCGCGGAGCGGGTAGGCCCGTGAGCCCATGGCCGCTGAACCTGCGCGTCCGGAGCCTGTGCTCCGCAACGGGAGAGGCCACAACAGTGAGAGGCCCATGTACCGAAAAAAAAAAAGAAGACACAGGTCTACTTTGATAAAAATATTTAAAAGCTGGGTTTTTTTTGTTTTTGGGGGGGTTTGTGGTTTTGTTTTTTGGGGGGTTTGCAAGCTGTTTTACAGTTAGCCACAGTATTCCATGCACTTTTTTCTTTAGGCTTCACAACTTCCTGAGGTGAGTTTTACCAACTCCGTTTTCAACACCAAGAAGCAGATTCCATGTGGTGACGCCATGCAAGGTAATCCTAGACTGTGTGGGTTGTGGGTGGAGGAGTTAGCCTCGATGGAGTTCATTTTCTACTTACCACCAACTTTAGACAGAATATTCCATTTGGGTCTCCACCGTCCCCTGCTCATTGACAGCTGAGGGAAGTGAGGCTCAGAGAGGTTAAGTAATGTGCCCCACCTCACACAGCCAGTAAGCATCAGAGCCAGGATCTGAACTCTTTCCACTGTCACAGCTGTTTCCCTGGCACTAGGGGTGGCAGCTGTGCTCCCATGGGAACCAAGCACAAGTTGCTGGAGCCCCCAGCCCAGCCCAGAGTAAGCCCCTCTGTGCCCTTGCCCCTCTGCTGGAGCTCCAGTGGCACTCACTGCAAGAGCCTGTTCCGGGCTGGGTCTGAGAGGTAGCACTTGGATCCACCCATGAACAGGGACCGGTATCACTGCCGATGGTCCTTTGTCTCCATCAGCTGTGTGTTGAGATAGCGACCCACACCCACAGGGTTCTGCACCAGGGAGAAGAGGCAGGACATTAGCAAGCTGGATGCCTGGCTTGGAAACTTGATCTCAGGCCTCCTCCCCTCCCTCTAGGCTCCTCCTTACTCCATCTGTTACACAGTGAATCGTGTTCCCCAAAGAGATGTGGAAGTCCTAATCCCCAGGACCTCAGAGTGTGAGCTTATTTGGAAATAGCTGCAGATGTAATCAGTTAAGATGAGCTCATACCGGAGTAGGGTGGGTCCTTAATCCAATGTGACTAGTGTCCTCATAAGCAGAGACATATAGGGGGAAGATGGCCATACACCATGGAGGCAGAGGCTGGAGTGATGCATTTACAAGCCAAGGAGTTCCAAGGATTGCCAGCCACCACCAGCAGCTAGAAAGAGGCCAGGAAGGATTCTCCCCTGCGGGTTTCAGAGGAAATGCAGTTTTGTCGTTACCTGGATTTCAGATTTCTGGCTCCCAGAACTGAGAGAGGATAAACTTCTGTTGTTTTAAGCCATCTAGTCTGTGATACTTTGTTATGGCAGCTTTAGGAAATTAATACACCATCCCACCCAGAAACTTGGGTTGTAGGTACAAGAAGCACCAGTGGAGAGGTTCAGAGAGGAGATGCAGCCTGTCCAGAGTGACTAGTGAGGGCAGGAGAATGGCAGGACAGGAACCTGCCATTTGTACAGAATCTGTCCCAAGGTCAGACTGGGTCCCCAAGCGAAGACCAGACTCTCCCCTGGAGGAGGTGCAGGCTGGAGATGAGAAAAGGAAGAATGTGGGGACCTGACCGTCTGGACCTCACAAGAACCAAGCAGGGCAGGGGGTGTGGGCACACTGGGGGCCAAGGCATCACTCGGGAGACAGGCACCCACAGCTTTGGCACTGGCACTGGGGAGGCCCCCATATGCACAGGTGGCATATGTAGACCTGTCCCACCCACACTGGGGGGACAACTGGAGGGACCAGAGGCCAGAGGAGGCCATCAGGTTCCCAGCCCAGAGCAAGATGACAGCTGAGAAAACCAGGCCTTGGATGTGAGCTCTCCCAGGGTTGCCTTCTGCCCACTGGGGCAGTGCCACCTCCTTGAACTTTCTGTCCAGCCCTGAGACCAGGAGAGTGTCTCGGGGAAATCCCGCAGGGCCCAGTGAGGTTACTACAGGAGCAGATGTGGGGACCAGAGAGGAGAAGAGACAGCTGGAACGGAGGGACAGGCCGTGGGACCTTCACCCTGCTCAGCCAACCCTCGCAGATGCCCCAGCGCTGGGGACCGGGCACAGGAGGAAACAGACAGCATCTGATTTGTTCCCCCAACTCCTCTGCCTTCAGTGGGGCTGGGCTCTGCCATTAGATCCTGTCCTCCACGGATGGTCAAGGAACAAACCAAGTGAGCCCAACCTACGGGTCAAGTGCAGTTGTTATGTGTGGACACCTTGGACTCAATCCTGCCTCTGCCGCTTAGTAGCTCTGTGACCTTGGGCAGTCACTTAATCTCTCTGTGCTCGTTTTCTGTCTGTAAAGTGGCGATGATAGTGCCTGCTTCACAGCGTTGTGGTGAGGATTACATTAATTAGTACACTCAAGTGCTTAGAACAGTGCCTGGCACATGGCAAGTGCTGCATTAAGTGTCGGCTATTATTACTTTAGACTTGAAGGTAATCACTCATTTTTCAGGGCCTCCAGGAAGCCCCTGTCCCCACAGTGCAGTTACAGCTTCTGCACCTGAGGATGCAAGTGCACGCCCCCTGAACGTGGCAAGGAGTAATTCCCAGGCTCCACAGAAGGTGGACGTGGAAAGGCCCTGGCTTGGGGTTTGCCCATTTGGCCCACTGGGGCAAGATGTTTATCCTCTCTGAGCTTCCAGGGCCTCGTCTGGAGTGGTTATAAAAAATTAGAGTGTTTTGGAGAACCAGTACTTAGTAGTACTTAGTAGGCAGGCATGGGCTTAGTCCACAAAGACTTATCACGTGCCTACTATGTGCCAGGCGCTGCTAGGACCTGGGGATTCTGCAGCGAACCAACCGGGCAGATGTGGTCCACCCTCGGGGGCTGCTGTGCACTGAGGGAGAGACACTGAACCCACAGCCACAATCAGGTCCCCTGGGAAAGGGAGATGGCACCTCATGGGGTCAGGTCAGACCTCGGAGCTGAGAGCTGAGGGATGAGCAGCGGGTTCTTAGGTGAAGGGGCCGCTGGGGGCAGAATGGCACTTCTGGTAGAGGGGAGAGCAGGGGCAAAGCACAGGGCGAGTGCTTTGCCTCACTTTGAAGAGTGAGGAGGGCAAGGGTGTCCAGCCCAGGGAGCGTGAGGGGCAGGGTAGGAGGGGCTGCACTGGCAGCATGGGCGTGACTCCCGCCTTTGCCCGCACGACCCTATGGAGCCTGAACCCCACTCATCCCAACCCACACCGATGTCACGGCAGCCCTCCCGCCACCCCCACCTCTCACCACAGTCACCTCCCATCTGGATGCCTCTGATCCCCTCCCCCACAAGCATGTCACTCAGTACACCCCCCCCCCACCATCAAAACCCTCCTCCGCTGTCCTCCCACGGCACCTGGAATCAAACCCGAGGCCCTCACCTTGCCAGAAGGGCCTCATGTCCTGGTCCTCACCCCTCTGCTCTTGCCTCCTCCCCGCTCACTCACAGATTCCGTGAGTCTCCATTGCTCACCTACCACAGGTTTTGCTCGAAAGCCACCTCCTCCCAGAGGTCTTCCCTGACTACCCTATAAATGGCACCTCATCGTTCGCCATCTCTCCCTGTCTCATTTTTCCTCATGGCCCTCATTATATGTGATTTGCTTCTCTGTACTGTTGTTTCTACCACTAGGACCACAGCTCCATGAGGGCAGGGACCTTGTCTTCATCACTGCTGGATCCCCAGGGGCTGGAACAGTACGTGGCACTAGAGGACGCTCAACCATTATTTGCTGGATGGCTGGATGGCTATAGATATGGAGGAGTTTGTTGAGCACCTAATGTATGCCTGGCTCTGTGCCAGGGACTCAGAGATGAACCAGACCCATCCCTGCCGGCAGGGAGTTCCTGGTCTGGTGGAGGAGATGCAGAAACCTACGACAGCCAGTGGGCTGAAAGCTGTGGCACTGGAAAGCAGAGGGGCTGTGGGGTCCCAGAGGGGAGCCTGGCCAAGCCTGGGAAGAAGAAAGGTAGGAGAAAGGGCGCTTCCAGCCCCACCCAGGCCGCGTGCTCTTCGGACAGAGCAGAGGGTAGGAGGGATCCCACTCCGTGTATGAGAACACCTCCCCGGAGCTGAGCAGCCCCCAGGTGCTGCCCGGTTTCTTCTGCAGCTCTTCTAAGAAGTCTTTGGAGTTGTAGGAGCCAGGCCCCAACTCGTCCTTCTGCCCCAAGAGAAGAGAGCAGAGGTGATAACTTTACACTTGGGAGTGTCCACGCGGGCAGGAGCCCAGGCGAGGATGTGTTCCTTAAAGGATGAGCTCTACCTGGGCCTGGGAGGACACTGCAGGCCACCCTGGGGGCAGGCAGGACCGGGCAGGAGGACCTGGCACCAGCTGTAGGGCAGGGTGGGGCCCCAGGGGCCTCACCTGCTGCCGCTTCTCTTTCAGGATGGCCCGGTACTGGAAGTGGGGCAGCTGCGTCAGCCGGGTGGCTTCCTGGGCCTTGGCGCAGCCTGTGCCCACCTCCTTCTTCAACTTCTTCATGCTGAAGCAGGTCTCCTTGCAGCCATAGGTCCCAGGTCCTATGTGGGACTGAGTCAGAGCACAGTCCGAGCGAGGCCAGCCACACCCGTCAGTCCACCCACAGAGCAAGTCCTCGCCAAGCTCTCACCCTGACCTGGGAGTGGACAGGCAATACCCCTCTGGGGGCCCCTCCGCCAGCCCCGAGCCTGGCCCTCAAGGTGCAACCATGATGTCCTCTGTCACTGGCCCCCTTACACTTCAGAGAGAGCCCGCAGCCAGTTTGTGCAAGAGCTGCGAGTGGAACCCATGTCTCTGTGGATCCGACCCATGCTGTTTTCACTACAGTCCTGCGTTTATCAAACACATTGAGGCCCCAGCTCTGAGTCAAGCTCTGAGCTGTAGGCTGAGGGCACGGAGGGGTGTGAGGCATGCCCCTTACACAGATCAGCTCATCTGTCACGGGGAGGGACTCGGAGGGGCAGTAGCCAGACCACGTGGGAGACTCAGGAAGCTATGCAAAGTCACCACGTCCACAGAGTAAACCCTGGAATACGGGGCCTCCCTGAAGGTGCTGCACTTCTGGTTGGGGTAGACAGCAGAGACGCCAAACCTGGGAGGGACAGATGCCCGGTGAGAGGCACCCAGCCCTGATGAGGGCAGTTCTGGGTGGTGGGGGGGTTGGCATCCCACGGGAGGTGACTTTGGAGCTGGCCCATGAAGGATGAGCAGGGCTGCTGCCTCCTCAGGGTCTTTGTCCTTCCAGGTTCCCTCTCCCTAGATTCCACCCTTGTCTGGTCCCCTAACCCCCTGATGGGAACCTTTACTCAAAATCACCTTCTCAGTGCAACCACCAGCTGCACCACCCCCTGCACTCCCAGGCTCCCCCTCCCCACTTCCTTTTTCTCCATAGCCCTTATCACTAGCCAACATTTTATATCTTTTTCTTTTTTTGTTTATTATCCACTCCCACCACCCCTCCCATATGAAGGCAAGCTCATGAGCAAGGGCTTTGCTGTTTTGTTCACTATTTTATCCCCAGATGCTAGAACTGTGCCTGGCACATAGTAGGTGATATATATATATATATCACCTATCACATATATATATATATATATATATACCACCTATGATATGATACATATATCATAGGTGGTATATATATATATGTGATATACACACGATGTATGTCATACGTATAAATGAAGAAAGACACCTAGGCTGAAATCCTACCCATGACTTTTGGGCTGAGTGACCTATTATGGGCCAGGCCACTCGGCCTCTCTGAGCAGCACATAGTAGGTGCTTCTGAAATGATTTTAAATAACTTAATAACGGTGGTAAAAGACTATACCACCTATGATATGATACATATATCATAGGTGGTATATATATATATGTGATATACACACGATGTATGTCATACGTATAAATGAAGAAAGACACCTAGGCTGAAATCCTACCCATGACTTTTGGGCTGAGTGACCTATTATGGGCCAGGCCACTCGGCCTCTCTGAGCAGCACATAGTAGGTGCTTCTGAAATGATTTTAAATAACTTAATAACGGTGGTAAAAGACTCTGGGCCGGGAAGTGCGGCAGGCAGGAGAGGTATAGAAAGTCCCGCCCCCATCCCTCACTGCCAGCCCTACGCCCCCCGCCCCCCGCCCCCCGAAGGGAGCGCCCGTGAACCAGTTGGTGGCCATGGCGCTGGGCCGCCTGCCGCGGCGAGGTCCTCGCGGGACTCGGGACTGTGGGAGTTTTCCGTGCCCGCCGGCAGGCCAGACCGGCTTCTGCCACCGCCGCCACCGCTGCCACGGCAACCCAGGCTTTGTGATTTGTGATCGCCACAGACCTGTGCGCTGCGTGTTTGCCCGCGCTGCGCCCCTGCAAGCGCGCCTGCAGGGTCCCCGACTTTTGCATTCGGCTATGCACATTTTCATTGCTGCCTTGCCAGACATCCTTCCCTGAACCCGGCAGATTTAATGGCCCCTCGCGGTGGTTAATATGGATGCCATTTTGTCGGGTTTTAGAGTCATTTGTTGAGGAACCGTTTCTGATTTCTTGCTTTATGGCAGAGCCCCGCGCAGGGCCTGGTGGAGCGCAAAGGCCTCTTGATGTTCACCTTATGCCCGTGGGACCAGTGAGACACACAGAAAGGGCTCGACTTAGGCAAAGGGCATTCCATTCCTTCTCCACTCTGGGGAGGGGAGGAGGAGAAAGAGGCAACGGGCAAGGGGAGCCAGAGCATGGAGGGCAGGAATAAGGTGGTCAGGAGAGAGGTAGGGTTGCAGGGGTGGTGTCAGGACTCATTCCTCCCCCAGTAACCTGGACACCCACTCTGGGCAGATATTGTGCAGGGTGCCTGGGACCCAGATATGGTCCCTTCCCAGAGAGTCTAGTGGGGGAAACAATGACTACACAGTGTGACCAGGTCAGTGTGATAGGGAGGCCTCTGACCCAGACTGTGGGTGTGTAAGTCAGGGAAGGCTTCCCGGAGGAGGAGAATTCCAAACTCAACATTGAAGAGTGTGTGTGGCTTGCTAGGTAAAGAAAGGGGTTGAGGGTATGTGCCCCCAACAGGGCATGGTCAGCTCTCTCCTCTCATCCTCCCTTATCTCCCACCAATGCCCCACAGTCATGCTACAGACTGTCTAATATCATCTCCCACAATTGCCTTTGATCCCTCCAAGGGTTTTAGGCTAAGGTAGGGCAAAGGGCCATATGCCATTTGACGATGACAAGACTGAAACCAGAGAGAAACAGGACCTTCCCAGGGGGTCCTGCATCCAGCCTGTGGTGGAAATGGATTACCAGGACAGTGGGTCTCTTTCCAGGCCCCACCCAATATCCTTTTGACATCCCAATATAGCATTTAAGCCATGAGCTGGACTCACGGGCCCCAGGCTGGCAGGCCCATGGTCACGGTTGGCAGAGCATCCACCCTGCACTGCTGAGCTGAAGGTGAGAGGCATCAGGCCTCAGGAACACACACAGAACAGTCACCCCAGGTCATCCAAGCATGGACTTTGCCCCTTCCCAACCATGTGACCTTGGGCAAGTCACTTCCTTCTCTGATTCTCAACTTTCTTACCTATAAAATAAAGCCAGTAATCTCTTTATCTCCAGACTGCTGTGACGATTAAATGAGCTAATTTAGGTATGCTCCTGGAACATAGCAGAAGCACAACAAGAGATCATTCCCAGCCCTTGGAAAGGGACCTTACAGAAGGTCCAGGGGCAGAGATTGTGTGTCATTCACTCCTGGTGCAGTATGTGGCACATAGTATATGCTCAGCAAATATTTGTTGAATGACAAGTGAACAAATAAATGAATCTAACCCAACTTCCCAGTAATGCATAAATCTTCAAAGAGAATCATGTTCGAATCCTAGCCCTGCTGCTTCCTAGCTGGTGGCCTTGGGCAAGTTACCCTCGCTAAGCTTCAATTTCCTTGTCTGTGACATGTGACTGTAGTCTCCTGGTAGAGCTGTTTTGAGGAGTGAGTGACGTGACTGTGTCCACTACCAATCCTATGTGCTGGGGAGGCCCTGCAACCAGCCCCAAGGCTGCTTAGGTGTTCTCAGGCCCAGACCTGCCTGGGGCTGCTTTGCTTCTCTCCCAGCATGAGAGCCTTGGCTCTGGGACTTACGGAGGAATAACCACAGGATATAGGCCAAGGTTCATTGGACTGAGAGTTCTGGCTGCCAGGCAGCTCAGAGCAGGCCAGAGTGAGTCAGCTCTGCAGCAGGGCAGCCTGCTCTAATCAGCCCAAAGCCTTCCCATCACAGCAACTTACTGATCACAGCAATTAACTCTCTCTTGTAGGTACTATTGCAATCCTCTCCAACCCCTATTATACAGAAGAGGAAACTAAGGATCAGACAGAGAGAGTAACTTGCGCTGGTCACATATGGTGAGCATCACACAGCAGATACAAAGCTCATAACTAAGTTTACAAGAGTTTCTAACCCAACCTCTAGAGCCATCTATTATGTCAATAAAGTCAAATCAAGTTTCTTAGTCAGGATTCAGGCCTCTGTGATGGGGCTATGGCTGCTGCCTTATGTCCTCATCTGCTGCCATCTCTTCCCCATGCTCTGTAAGCTTCAGCCATATGGGGCTACTCTGTCCCTAGGCATACCCTGCCCTGGCAAAGCTCTAGCCTTTTCATGTGCCTTTCCTGCTGCTGAAATGCACCAGCAACCTAATCTCCCCATCCAACTCCTACTAATCTTCTCAGAGTCATATCAAAAGCCAAAGCCACCCATTAGGATGGCCATTATAAAAACAAACAAACAAACAACAAACAAAAACAGAAACAAATTACAAGTGTTGGTAAGGATATAGAGAAATTGGAACACTTGTGTATTGTTGGTGGGAATATAAAATGGTGCAGCTCCTGTGGAAAAAAAAGTATAGCAGTTTTTCAAAAAAATAAACATAGAATTACCATATGACCCAGCAATTCCACTTCTGGGCATATAGCTAAAAGAAGTAAAAGCAGGGACTCAAACAGATATTTGTACACCCATGTTCATAGCAGCATTGTTCCCAACAGCTAAAATGTGGAAACAACCCAAATGTCCACTGCTGAATGAATGGAATGAATGAATGGATAAACAAAATACATACAATGGAATATTATTTAACCTTAAGAAGTAAGGAAATTTTGACACAAGTTTCTACATGGATGAACCTTGACATTATGCTAAGTGAAATAAGCCAGACACAAAAGAACAAATATTGTATTATTATTCCACTCATATGAGATACATAAAGTAGTCAAATTCAGAGACAGAAACCAGAACGATGGTTGCCAGGGCTAGGGGAAGGAGGGCATGGAGAGTTGTTTAATGGGTACAAAGTTTCAGTTTGGGAAGATGAAAAAGTTCTGGAGATGGATGGTAGTGATGGTTGCACAATGTGAATATACTTAATGCTACTGAACTGTACAGTTAAAATAGTAAATTTTATGTAAAGTATATGACAATAAAAAGGGGGGAAAAAGCCGAACTCCCTGGAAATCTGTCTCTGATCCTCCCAAGCAGGTCAAGAGCCCAAGTTTCATCTCATGATCACCAGCAATTTATAGTAACAATTTTTAATTAAAAGTTATTAAATTTTACATTTATAATTACAGGTGAGGGATTTCCCTGGTGGCACAGTGGTTAAGAATCCGCCTGCCGATGCAGGGGACACGGGTTCGATCCCTGGTCCAGGAAGATTCCCACATGCCGTGGAGCAACTAAGCCCGTGCTCCACAACTACTGAGCCCACAAGCCACAACTACTGAAGCCCGTGCACCTAGAGCCCATGCTCCGCAACAAGAGAAGCCACTGCAATGAGCAGCCCGCGCACCACAACGAAGAGTAGCCCCTGCTCCCCGCAACTAGAGAAAGCCCACACACAGCAAGGAAAACCCAATGCAGCCAAAAATAAATAAATAAATAGATAAATAAAATAAAATTACAAGTGAAAAATATCTCCAGAATGTTGTTTTAATTTACCTTTTTATTGCTCAAGTCAAATATTTTTTCCAAGTTTACAAATTGGCTCTATTTCCTCTTCTGAAAATTCTGGTCTGTTTTTCAAGAAGATAAAGTAACAGGGTCTCAGGAGCCCAGCCCCAGATGGAATGATGGGTGGGAGAGACTCAGAAGTTCAGACCTGGGACTTCCTTGGTGGTCCAATGGGTAAAACTCTGTGCTCCCAATGCAGGGGGCCAGGGTTCCATCCCTGGTGGGGGAACTAGATCCCGCATGCGTGCTGCAACTGAGAAGTCCGCATATGCCGCAACTAAAAAGAAAAAATCCCACATGCTGCAACTAACCCCGGCGCAGCCTAGATAAGTAAATATTTTAAAAAGGAAGAAGTTTAGACCTGCTACAAAATCCAAGTCCCGGAGGACTAGCAGGGAGCTAGTGCGCCAGGGAGCACAGCCCAATCTCCGGGAGGACGGGGGACTGACGCCAGGCCTGCGGGAAGGCTGGCAAGAGCAAGACAACTGGGCCACAGGTGGTACGCAGACTGAGGGGGAGCTGCCAGTTATCCAGAGTGATTAGAACCAGCACCTGGAGCCCCGTCTTTCCACTGGGGCCGACCGCAGGGCAGAGAGGAGGCAGAGAAATCCCAAGTGGGGAAGCCTGCTAAATAATGGCCAAAGGACGAGCTGCAGGAGGGGGCAGCCTCCATTCAGAGGAAGCAGAACACTGAGGGACTGTGGCGGGGATGGGAGAGCAGCAGGAGTGAGGGTGGCTTGGGTGCCGAGTTGGAAAGGCCAGGCCTGACTCTCCTGTTCAGTGAGCTCGCACAGGGTGGAGCAGTGCTCAAGGAGGAAGGGCCCGGCTTTTGGGGGTTCAGCAAACTGGGTTCCAGGCCTGCTCGGGCACACCCAGTTCTGTGACCTGGGCAAGTCCTTTTCCTCGTCTGAGCTTCAGTTTCCTCATCTCCTGAGCAGAGAGAGTAAAAGCATGCCTTTTGCCATGCACCGGGGGTTACACGCCCCGCGTTTGGCACTGCACCTAACAGGCACACCTGGTTGTGCAATGCGGGCGTCTAAAAGCCGCTGAGCAGCGAAAGCGTAAACACCCACCGAGCCGACGCTCTGACCCACCCACCGGCGGGCGGCGCCCCGGGATGGGAGGTGGCTGCGCCCCGGGCCTCTGCGCGCTGACCCTTGCCTCCCGCGCCGGGCTCGCTTGAG